TGGGGAAGGTGGATGTGTGGATGAGGCTGTGGAAGGCTGAGGCCCCAGGCTACGGGGCTGCACTTGAGGATGCTCTGGCCATTGTGGTGGGGGGACTTGGGGCACCGGCTCCCTGCAGGACCCCCAGGCTTTGAAGCCCACTGGACGGGCAGGACACAGGGAACATTTCAGCACCTGGAGTGGCAGCAGACGCCTTTAGAGAGGAGGAAGAGCTCTGTGTGCCCCTGCCCCGGCGGGCAGCTCCGCACCAGCCGCTCCTCCCTGGCTCCTGCCGTCCTGTCCTGACACACATCGGCTTCCTGCTCTCGCACCACTTCCTACCCTGCTCTGCTTTCCACCGAGCTCTGCGTGCCAGGGCGTGTGGGGGAGGAAATAAAAACCAAATCAGAGGAGCAGCTCTTCCTTCTGGCCGCCGTGGTCCGAAGCGAGGCTCGGGCTGGGCAGGCTCCGGAGCATCCCTGGCGTGGGCTCGCATCCCGCAGGGTGGGGACAGCTCGTGTCCTGCGGCCACCGGTGGATTGCCACCAAAACTCACCGGCTCCCCGATAAACGGGCTGATTTCTGAGGAGGGCGGGTGCTCTGCCCGCCCCAGCTGAGCTGCCGGGTGCCACCCCTGTCCCAGCCGCAGGAGCACAGCCCGGCCACGGCAGCAGCATCACTGCCCCCTCCGCGGGGCCACTCTCCAAAAACACTTTCTGCCTCATCAGGAAAGCGGGAAAAGCGATCAATGGCTCTAGCCCTGGCTTTAGAAAGTGGATTAAGGCCAGTGAATAGGAACTGTCTCTCTAATGAAGTGCTATTACCAACAGGCTAATTGAGTAATGACATAATGCAGGCCCTTGAAGCTCTTTATAACGGGCCGTGACTCCGTGCCACAACACGCCGCCACTTCCTCGCCCTGCCCCGCTCTGCACATCGCGGCAAAGGAGGCTCAATGTGCAGCACCGTCCTCCCGGAGCAGCCACAGACAAAGTGTCGCCAGCATAACCCTGCGTGGAAAATGCGGAGGTGGAGGGAAACCCGGACTAATTAGCTCGGGAGCCGCCAATCTCCTCCATGTGAAATGTGAGCCTTTTTATTGGGAAAGGCAGAACAGGCCTCACATTGCTTTCAGGGAGCCCAGTAAAACAGAAGGTGACCCACACATATGTATATTATGCTAGATTTAAGATACTTTGTGATGATTTTCTAGGCAGGTCTCCAGTAAGTTCCAGCACGGCGCTGTGCAGCGGGCGGCACGGGCTGGCGGCTGCCCCTGGCACCTCTCAGGGTGGAGAGGCCAGCGGGCCCTGCTGGGGTGTGCCAGTGGCCCTGGTGCCAGTGCCCGTCCCCAGGACAAGGAATGAGTCACAGCAGCTTTGTGCCCACAGCTCGGGTGCCCGAGGCTCTGCTGGGGCACGGTGCAGCCCTGGGGGCATCACCCCTGTGCCCGCTGCTCTGGGGGTGGCCAGGGGGCGAGACATCACCTTTATTTCAGTTCTCCAGCCCCACGGCCCTTCCCCAGGCTGCCGGGCCCTTTCCTTCTGCATTTGCAATGCTTTATCTGCATGGGAAGACTCGCACCTCCCCAGCCCCACGCTATCGGTTCATCATCCCATTAAAGATTAATCTGAGATTATTGCTCATGTCAATAGCCCAGAGGCAGGAAAACAAGAGCTACACCTGCAGTTTGTTTGTGAGCCCCGCTCCTTATGGCGAGCTGTTAATGGACAGACACTGCCTGTTGACAGGCTGAGCCCTGCACCGGCACCTGCTGCCCTTCTCCAGACAGGGAAAACCTCACACTCCCTCCGAGACCTCCTGCATCCCAGCTATCGCAAGTGGGAAACCCGGGCTGTCCCTGCTGATCACCCCGAGCAGTCCCAGCTTCTGCCACAAAGCTCCGATCATTCCCTGCCCCAAATCAGGAGCTGGCTTCAGTAATTCCCTGCCCGGTTTGTGTTTGTTTGTTCAGCTTTTTCTAGCTAAGGTAGGAGCCAGAAGACCTGGGCTGCTGCACTTGGTAAGGGCTGAGCTTTGGCTGGGCGCTCAGGCGCTGAAGTGCTCCTGCAGAGGCTGTGGGGGATGCAGGAGATCAGAGAATCATGAGAACATTTCCAGCACACAGGTTTCCAGTGACAGGAGAAGAAAGTGGAAATTTTTTTGCTTTCTACTGCTCTGGAGGTGAGAGGAGGCGTTCTGGTGGACCCCAGAGCTCCTCACAGCACAAGGAGCAGGTGTACCTCGCACCTGTCCTGGGGAGACAAGGGAGTGACCAAGGAAATTTTGGGAACTGGTCCCCAAATGATTGAGGAGATGAAGCTCAGCCTTTGCAAAGGTGGCTGTAATCCTCCTGCTTTCCTTCTCATCCCCTCTGGGATGCTCCAGATGCTTGCAGAGACAGGACAGGATGAGTTCAAATGGTAGCATGGAAGCTTTAAATCCCTTTTTAACGCGGTGTCTCCAGGCGGGTCTGCCCCGGGGGTTCCCACGGCAGGGTGGGTGTCCCAGCACCCTTAATTCTACATCGGGTCAGCGACGGGAGAAAACACCAGTCCTCTCAGGGAAGAAAAGGCACTTTGTGCTTTCCCTGGAGCCTTTGAAAGGGCTCCAGGAGCTGAGGGGACGCACGTGCGGGTTTAAAGGTTCCGTGGAAATGAAAGAGCGGGGTTGAAAGGCTCGGCAGGGCCCGGGGGGAGCCGGCAGCGCCCGCCGGGGCCCCGCTCCCCGCTCGCCTCGCACC